AGAACAACAGCTGAAAGAGAATATAGGAAAATAACTCTTATTAAAAAGTCAAATTCTTGGGTGCAAGGATATTGCCCTGGATGGTAACATGATAAACAGCTTACTGTATATGCTAAAACCACTTACTATCAGCAAAGAYGCCTACTGCTGAATGCGTGAAGCTTCCTACATCGAGATCTCATCAACCAGATCTGACAGCTCTCGTGTGTGTTTTGACTTAATATAGCCTTGATATTTTAGGCTGTATTTTTAGCATTTAGGACACAAGTATAAACCAAGTAGTTTATAAAATACTGTGTACTAGAACTCACATTTACAACACATTTCAGCTTGTACTGAGTCTCCTTCCCGATCAAAGTTAAAAACACTTTTCTCAACAAAAAGGAGAATTCATTATCTTCATTATCAAAAGTGCTTTATTTCTTGCTTTCAAATGGAGACTTAAGTCACTGCATTACTTCCCATACCCTAATTAAAATCAAGTCAGGAGGGTCTTCATTTGTATCTTGTCCATAAAGAAAAGCTAAAGCTGCACATGTAGTTTCACTCAATGCAAAAGATAAAACTAGGATATATTAGCACTTCTAAAGGATGCATTAACAAGCTCTACTCATTATAACTACGTCTGTGGCTATACACGGGTAAGTTCGGTGAGCATGCAGTATTTTTCATAGTTTAAAAATACTSGATGTGGAAGAAAAACATTAGCACTATATGTACACATGCTTCACAGAAACACGAAGTAATAAAGTGTAATGAGATTACTGGCAGGTTTATCTTATTAAAAGTTTACAATAAAATTATTCTGTACATTATCCTTTTCAAGGAGATTACAYAAACGTTCTGAAACCTTCACCCATACAACTTCATTTTGTATTTCTGAATACAAAATCTTCAACTCTTCTTGAATACAGTCTTCAGATCCTCTGTTAATTCTGCAGTTCGGCATTCATCTCAGGAAGAAATCTTCTCCCATGTCAGCTTGTCATATTTTCAGCAGCCTAGAAACAGAAACACTATTTATTGCAAACAAGCCATATATGTAGATAAAGTAACACATATAGTCTTTCCTTATAGCTATTTGGCATAGAGTATTTGAAAATCTAATGCCCAACTACAATTTTGCGAGATGTGCACTATTGTTTTGCAATTAATACTTCTGCACATTTAAAATATACAGTAGCTAACTCCCATTAACCCTTATTAACACATCCACTACTTGTTTTGCTTGTATTAAATTTTGTGCCTACCATATCTGAGTATCCTACATGCTGGACATTTTGCTGTAATGCACTCAAAATGTACTACAATGCATTTTATTTTCTGCGGAGTTTTTTTTTTTTTTTATGCAATTAATAAAAGTAGTACTCCCATTCATATAGATAAATTTACACTATTTAGAAAAAAAAAAAAAAGAACGACATTAACCACACTGTGTAACTGCCGTTTATTCTCTCTCAGTTGGCAGTCAGTATTTCTGTTACGGTATGACTCTAACACCGCAGTCAGGTGCATTAGCAATGCTGAAGACAGAAATGTAAATTTTTAGCCAATCATGGGACAAACAGGCAAAGGATAGCAACGTGAATGAGAAACTAAGAAGAAGGAAGAAACAAAACAGCTCTCACATTTACTTATATGCACAAAGCTAAACATAAATATGGACATCTTTAAGCATGTACATTAACATAATATATATATATAAAGAAGAGCTTATATTTATTTTTAAAAAGGTATCATTTTCTTATATCATGTTATGTTCAATCATATTAATTGCCTTTAAAGATAACAGTTCATTTTGCTATTTTAAAAAGTACAATTTACATGTTGAAGTATTTTCTTTTGAAAACAAGTTCTATGTACACTTCAAACAACAGATTYACCTTTAGAGCTTCTGTGGCCTTCCGTAGTTCTTTAATAACAGACGATAATGCTTCTGGATTTATCCCCTGTTCACAAAGCCGCACACAAATGGACAAGGTCTCCATATCCAGGCCAGTGTTTAATAATCTTGAAATCTCAAACAGTACTAGGAGACAAAAAGTGGAAACAGTTTAATCCCTACAGACTATGAAGTCTCAATGCTCAAAAGTCTTGTTCATCAACATTTAACTTCGAGAGCGGAATCTGAACAAGGCAATTGGTGGAAGGCCAAGTATAACCCCCAAGAAGGTTTCTATACGAGCAGCCTCACAGAGTAAGCCAGAAGCCACAGCTTCAAACAATTCAAAAATTCAACAAATAAAGCGTTTGGCAGAAATTCTTTATGGTCTACATTTTACACAGTATGTGCTTTTGAACTCTGGATACTTGCTGTGAGTCAGTCTTGACAGGACTGGAAGGCCATTCCTAAAACCTAAGAGAATATCAGGAGCTTTCTCGCTCTTCTCCTTCAATACGTGCACCTGGGTTTACCTCTAACAGTAACAATGAGCATAAGTGAGCGYAAGTACACAGTATCATAGCAAGTGCTATGAAAAAAGCTTCTGACTTCCACTAAGTAAGTACGTTAATGAACCCAGGAGTAGTTTGGATTAAGGGACATGCACATTTAAGACATGAAAGCCATTTGTCAAATAAAAGCCAGTAAGGGCCAGGAGAAAAAACTTCCTTCTCCTCAGGATGGCTTGAAACTCGCTAGCTTGAAACTCAACTCTTACAAATATTACACATGCACTTCCTGTCCGCATGATAGCATCTTAAGCGGCCAAATAAAGCAAGAATCTATTGGATTTATAATAGAATAATGTTGAATATTAAGTGCTAAAGAACTGACAAAGTTTTATTACAAAATCTACTAGGAATGTACTGTATGATTATTAGCTTTTAACAGGAAATATCTTTAGATGTTGAGGCAGCATCTTCGGCAATGCATCAAAGTGAGAAAAATTTGAACTTTTGACAATCTGTACAGATACAGATAACAGGTGGATATTTATATTTAACATTCCAGATTATTAAGCATTTTACATAAGTTTAACTACTTACATCACAAAATAACTTTTTTTAAATAATTCTACTGTTTGCTTCCTCTTTATGCTCTCTTTCTTACAGATTTTTGAACAGCATAAAGATCCTCAAAATAATTCAAGAGTTGATTTTAGAATCGAGTGCAGTAGGAATTCAAGCATGGTTATTTTTGAAATTCCCTTTAAATACATCTTTAAATATCAGACATACAARGCCTATGTTTAAGGAATGGAAATTAATTTTCCTTCTGAAATACTTGACATCAGAAGGAGATTGAGCTGGGAATGTCCACCCTCAATAAAGTGTGCATGCCACATAGGAAGCCTGGGCTCCCAAATCTAAAAGCCAGTGCCCCGTACAACTTATTTTGTCTCCAATTCTGCATGCTGTCTCTCTCACATAAAATATCCCTGCAGAAGTGGAGAAAGGACAGGTATCCAACACAGGTGGATTTCTTAATTTCACATCATCCTTCACAGATAAACCTCATCAGGGGCACTGAACAGTCTCATCTTCTCGAATATCAGTAAAGCAGCTAGTCCTTCCTTGGCTCCAGTAACAGGAAYGTGCGCTGGTAGCTCAGCAGCTGAGCTGTTTTTTTACAGCAGTACAAACCTCAGAGATCTTTGCTGGGAGATTTTATGTAACGATAGCCATAACTGGATCACAAGTTACTTTTTTAAAAAAAAAAAGTAGGCGATACCTCCCACAAACACCCTCCCATTTTATCTGGCCTCTCCTGAAAGCATTTCTAGAGGGAATCTTTGTAATCACTCTCAGAGGACTTCTTGCTCATAAACTTTCCATCCAACCTTAAGCATACATCAATTTTCAGCATCTATTCCAATGAATCCCAGTTTCACAATTCATTAAGAACCACAACCTAAACCTGGCACCTCCTGCCTTTTATACCCCATGGTGGGGCTGCAAGAGACACTAACAACTGACCACGAACTGAACCTTGCTGATCCCTGCACAGCCCCTCACTATTCCAGGGTCCTTTCTCCCTCGCTGTTCACCCAAGAGAGTCAACCTCTTCGTTTCARAAGCTACTCCACAACACTGCCTGCTCCAGCAGAGCTTTAAGAACTGCATATTGATCTAACTGCTTAATACATGGGCATGATGACACTCTCCATTTAGCCCCTTGTGATTTTCCTCCATTAGCACATAATTTGCATTTCTGAAAAAAAAAAAATCCCCAACCAAACAAAAAACAGTTACCCATCACATCTCACAGAAACACAATGCTGGAGTCAGGTCAGAGGCTGCCACACACAACTCCTAAGTGGTGGCTTTCCTGCTTCCTTCCCCTCCATGTAATCTCCTCCCCCCAGTTCAGAGAGATGCACTGAGGCAGATACTGCAGCTCATRTTAACTATGCCATAGGACAAGCAGAGAAATACAAAATATACTTTCTAGAAGAGGAAAAAAATGAGGCCATGCCTGACAGAACGCGCAGCAGCTAAGAACGCCCTCGCAAGGCCCCAGAGCGGTGCTTAAGGCGTTCCGTCTCACACGAAGCGAAACGAGAAGCCCCRTTTGCACGCGCTAACCCTCCTCGCGAAGGAGGCGGCCGCTTCGGTTAACGGGCGGGTAACGGTCCCGGGCGCGGGGGGGAGGGCGTGGGCGGGGCCAGCGGGCCTGGGCGGGGCGGCGGCCGCGCGGGGGGCGCCCCGGGCACGCACCGTCCATGGTCTCCCGCACGGCGTTGAGGCTGGCGGCGTTGCTCGCCATGGCGGCGCACCCCCGCACCGGAAGTAGAAAATGGCGGTGCCTCCCCATGCCCTAACGGCCGCTCCACCGCTTCCGGCCCAAGCCCCGCCCTCTTCCGCGCTGCACGTGACCCTTCCAACGGCCCTCGCTGCCTCCGCGGCCGGACAGGTTGGGGGGGCGGGGAGAGGGGCGGGGCGCCCGTTCGAATTTGCCGAGCGGCTCCCCCGCGATGATTGGTTGGTTCGAGAGCCGGGCGGGGCGTTGTCATTGGCCCGGCGGGCCCGGCTGCGCGTCGCCATTGGGCGGCGGGGGCCGAGGGGCGGGCGTAGTTAAAGGGCCACCCGCGAGGGGCGGCCGTGCGCAGCTTCGGTGTGAGGAGAGTGCGAGCGGCGGCGGCGGCGGCGGCGGCTCCGAGCCGCGGCCACCGGGTACCGAGCACCGAGCCGCGGCCTCGCCTCGCTTCCCCTCGCCGGGCCCGGGCCCGGGCCCGCGGCGGCCGGGAGGCCCCTTCCCGCTTCCCTCTTCCCGCCGCGGGTCTCCCCGTCGCGGCCGTTGCGGGCGGGCAGGCGGCGGCGGCGCCTCCMGCCCCGTTCCGCGCTCCGGGACGGTTTGAGCTCCCCCAGGGACTTCGGGGCCTCCCGTTCCCTCTTCGGGGCCGCCACTCACTGAGGGGCGGGGGAGGGCCCCGAGTGGGATAGTTCGTTATTATTTTATTTTTAACTTATATATATGTATTTTTCATATTAGCCTTTCTTCTCAACTTCTCACAGCTCAGTAGCAATTAACCAAAGCTGATTTTGGGTTTATTCGGCTTTATTATCGGTCATTTTTCCTCTCTTTCCCCCCGCCCCGGTTTTCTTACTCTGAACCGTCAGCCTCCTAACTGCTTCCTCTCTCCTCTCCCCTCCAGGCGCAGCTCTGTGTTATGGGGGACATGAAAGAAACGAAGATGCAGATAACGCCGGAAACCCCGGGCCGAGTCGCCGTCCTCAACCCCTTTGAAAGCCCCAGTGATTATTACACCCTTCAGGAGCAGATCGTCTCCAGCCCTTCAGTCTTTAAGTCGACAAAATCCTCATCCGTAAGAGCCAGTCTTCAGCTGTGTGAGCCTACCCACACAGTGCTAATAACTTGGAATACTTTGAAAAGCTACACTTATTCATTTTTTCATGTGCTTAAGCTTTGGTGTAATTAAAAAAGTCAGGGCTCTTCTGACTGCAATAGTATGGTTATTTTAATACTAAAGGTTTCTTTTAACACTAAGGCTGTCATTCAGCCTTCTAACTTACTGGTGATGCTATGTTTTCTTTATCTTTTATTTTCTGTAATGCTAGGTGCAGCACTAGTTTAMCATACAACACTACTAAAAGCTCTGAAATATTGAAAGTAATAAATAATAGGCAGCTACTACAAATAAGTGTGGTTGCAGTACTCTTCTCATTCAAGAAGAGAGGAGCAAAAGCAGTTTCTGCTTACAAGCTAATCAGGATAAAAGTAAAAGCAGATTAATTTTATTATTAGCTGCTTGCATACTATGGGATCATGTTTTGATTGTGTGTATACACATATAACACATTTTAGCTGTGAGGTTCATCTGGGTTTGCAGCAAGGTGAAAGCTTTGGCTGTCCTTTAGTTTTCATTGCTGCTGTCTGATAAGCAGGRCAGGCAATGCTGTGTAAAAACGGGTAAAGACATGTTTGGAAGATAAAAATACTGTTTTTCAAAGTAATATATGACTGGTATTTTGTGGTTTCAATATTAAGAGGTGGGGCAACTTCATTTCCAAGTCTGAACTGACTTTTGTTCAGAGTTAAGTATTTTGCATTGCCCAAAAGTGGATGTGCCTAGGCCTGAAAAAAACAAGTGCACCTCAGTTTGTAAATATCAACTATAGTCCTCCATCTTATATAATCTTGTAAATCATTTTAATAACACTACCCAGAACAGAAGTCTAAGTGAATAACTCCTTTTTACTTTAAGTAGATCATTTCAACAGATTGAGACCTGTATGATTGTCTTGGGGGAAAATATATATATATATATGTACATATATATATATGAAAGTTATAGTTGCGTTGTTTCAATGAGATTTGTGCCATGTAGTTTTATTTATCGTTTTAGACAAGAAAGCATTAAGATGTCCTTTTCTTTTTTTAGACACCAGGAAAGTTCAGATGGTCCATTGATCAGCTTGCTYTAATTAATCCCGTGGAGATTGATTCAGAAGATGTTCGACGCCAAGCGATGTATTTGAGTCACGCTAGGTAACTACCACCTGGTTTTATGCATTTAACAAACTCGAGTGCTAGTCTTTTGTTTTATTGGTGTTTCATATAACATGAAAGACCTCTTACTGATTTTTTTATCAATAAGTTTTTTATTTTTCTTTTTTAATATTTAAATGAGGCTGCCTCTGATTCTTTTGTGATGTTGAAATCTTCACATACACTTGGAAGTTTGAAAATAAGCTGGATATAGCAGTTAGTGGAAGTGATTTAAAAAAAAAAATGCCATGTCAATAACTATTACCACTCCTGCTACCTCTCCTGCTTCTGGTCTTCCCAGAATGTTCYGTACTGAGAGCTATGAAAAGCAGATCCTTGGTCTTTGGGAGTTCTGCAGAAGGGTAGTGTTTYTGGGAAAGTCCTTCTGAAAGACCTGATGGCCTTAGATGAAATGGGGGAGACCAATTAGCTTTCCCTCTGAGGAGATGATGCTTGCTGGCTATTTGAAGTAATTAGGGAATAATAGGGAGATCTTTGATCTCAACTGTTTTTYCTCTGGACGTAACTTCCGTAAGGAAAGCAAAGGAGTGATTAGAAAAGGCCAGATATACGGGGCTTGTTTCTCAGGATAGTGGTATGAACCACTAATACAGAGTGACTTGTCCAGTGAGCGTAGAAGGCAACTATTCCCTTATGGACTTACACAAAGAATTAAGTGTTAAGGAATGAAGAACCACTATAAAAGAATTATAAAACACTCATTTATCCAATATATGCCTAACTTGTATGTTCTGTATGTGAGATAAAGTGCAGATAGAAGGCTGGTAGAGSAAGAATCTGCTGAATGTGCATATTTTTTGTACCTTCTGGTTTTGCCGTTCTCTTCTTTTGAACATGAAGATATGTAAGAAAAGAATTTCTTGCTAGAATAGAAGTATGAGAAGAATATGTGTCCTCAATTGTATCCGTTGGTCACCATGTCTTAATGTCAGTATTTTTCCTGACATGTGTGTGTTACTAGGCCCTCCTCTAACAGCCAGTTGGTTTATGACACTCGGACTTCTTACATGTTACAAAGCCTTATATATTTAGGCAGTTACACTGATAAACRTTCATACACAAGCAAATGGAGATATCGTTTACCCAAGCTATCTACTTCAAATGATGATCAGCAGAATGGCCTCTCAGCCTGTCTGTCCCATCATTTCATACTCACTGTGGTTCTTATTTGACATGACTAGAGAGAAGCTAGTTTGTGTATATCTYAATTTGCTGTGGCTGTGTTTGCTTCTTTCAGTGTAGATATARGCTGCTGTGGTTTCATACTTAGTTACAGACTGTACACCTTTAAGTGCAGATATATATGTACAAAATCTTGCGTGCAGATTTACTCTCAAATACTACTATTTTTGTGGAAATAAAAATATCACAAATATAGTTGATGACAGCCAAAATTCCTGATAAAAGAACTGACTTGTTGAAGCCTGTGCTTACTGTTGTGCAAGTGYATTTTGATAGGACTTGTTGGCATATTTTCTCAAACAATTGCAAGGGACCACTATAAACAAAAGAAGAATAACTGTAAGTGTTTCAAGCTGTTAATTCTGTGCCTTTAGAAAAGAAAGGGTTGAGTGCAGCCCACTGTGAAAGCTCATGGAGTACTATTCACAGTCTTGAATATGCCTCTTGTGAAGACTTACTTCTGGACAGTACTAATATTTCCTTGAAATAGGCATCATAGCCATGTGCAGTGTTTATTTTACTAGCTGTAAATACTTAAGAAAACTTTCTGGCATGCAATACTAATTATTGATAATGGAAATGCATTTTGCTAACATGTTAGTCTTGTCCATAAGCTTTCCTCATTCTATTTAGCTTATACTGGTAAAAAAGAAGTGTAAAGTTGAATGTTAACGTTTCTCTATATCAAGCTCTTAAAAATCTTCATTGTGACTTGCTTGTAGTTACCAATGATTCTTCTGGTACAATATCTGCATTTTTTTCTGAATTTTAGACTTACTTTAARTAGTTGTCTCAGTGCTTGCGAATTTGTCAATTTATGCATAAAAATACTATTGTAAGACACTAGTTTACTAGGTGTAGTACAGTTTCATGTATTAGGTTTTAATTGATCTGTAGTAGATGATAAGGATGGGCTTTTCATCTTTGTGCATGATGATTCAGATAACTTATTTTGTTTTCCTTAGAATTGATAAGGAGATGGARGAAAGAAGGCAAAAAGCCATTGAGGAGGTAATACTTTCCTTATGCTATCAAATATTGACTCACTTTAGACACTTATATCAACAACAGCAACAACAAAAATCTATTTTTATTATAGAATTTCAAAATCCAGGACTATTTTTACTGTTATTGTATCTTCCCGGCAAGCAAAATAATTTGACATCCTCRTCCATTGCAGTTATAGTTGGGATGAATGTTCTTTCTTGCACTCTTTCTTCTCATACACCTCTTAGTATTAGGTAGGTTACATTGTCTTTTTTTGTCACACCCTTGGGAAAAAAAAAGATTTTGATTTAGTTTTTTCCAGCATTTACTTAGATGCAGACAATTCCTTCATGGAGGATCCCACCTCACATTTTTCTTTCGTTCATTTTAATTTTATCTRTTACCAACCACTTGTTTAGGAGAGACTGAAAAGTATGTTGCTTCAAATCTTTTCTCTAGAAATCTTTCCTATTACTTCAATTTCAGCCTATAGTAGGGCTTTAATAAGCAAGTTTTCCTCAGTGTTGTTAATGTGTTTTTGTGCATATAAACAAAAAGGTTTTCCTTTATAGAAAGATGCTATGTAGATGACTTGCAGCTAAGATATTTTGTTGTTTTAAAGCTGCATTTAAAAATGGTCTTTCATCTTCATGAAGCATAGATTAATAAATTATGTAGCTGAACATCCTGAAAACATGTCTCTGATGGATTAAATTTATGCCTTTGTTAGCTGGATGTTTTAAGCTTTTAGTGTGAAAAGGATTTACCATGTGTGTTTTTTAAAGCTGGATAATAATGTTCATCTCCTTAACTTCTGGTTGTTCCTTCTGGATGTGATAGCTGAAGTGCTTTTGGTTCAAGCAAAACAAAAACTGAATGTAGGTGCCATGACTCAACTATTTTACTGTGAAGAGCTCTAGCCAAATCTACCGATAATATCACCAAATGTTGCTTTACTAGTCCTTATTTTTTGTTGTGGCTGCAGTGACTCTTAACACTTCTTCAAAACAACTCAATTGTCAAATATAACATTTTGACAAACTGATGGTTTGAAAAATTATACTAAATTAGTGTGAAATAATTATATTGACAGAACTGTAAGGACAAAATTCAATTTTATGAAATAATTATGAACAAGCTATACAAAATTGCTTTATAACTCTTACTCTGCAGGCTTTTAAGTTCTGARGTGTAGTAAATGACCCAGAACATGGAGGTCCTTTGCAAACCAAGTTATTTTTTCTTAACTTCTCTAGACTTGAAATACTTAAATGTATTTTTGGTGTAAAGGATAGCTTTATTTTTATATATAATATATAAATATATGCATATACACAAATATATATATTTGAGATAGTTAATTCTTAAAATATAGATTTGTAAGTAACAAAAGCTATGACTGCAGTTTGTCTCGTTTGGGATCRTAATCTATATTTGAGTCTTTTCTTTTTGTTTAATTTTATTTTAATGCTAATACTGATTCTTTCTATTTCACTATAGTTTTTCACTAAAAGACTCATAGTTCCTTCTCCTTGGACTGAACACGAAGGGAAACAAGTTTCTCAATTTAATTCAACTAAATGTAAGGGTTTTTGACCTTGAATTCTCTATTTTTTTTAAAAATAATGAAGCAGAATTTTTCAATCTCAAACTAAATTTTAAGAAGAATGATAAAAGATGACAGATTTGGTTGGTTTCTAGCTCTTCTCTAAGTGCTTGTTTGATAGGAAATTCYTAAATGCCTTGAGATTTCTGGAGTAGTGGAAAGAGACTTAAAACTTAATACTTTTTATTAGTGGGATGACATCTGTGGATAAATCAAAGATAACTTCCAAAGTGAATTATCATACAAAGTCATTAGAAAAATTTTTGGCACGATTCCATTTAAAGTTTTGTGTTTCTAAAGGGTCAAATTTAATAACTTCTAAAGGAAAAGGCATAGAACACAATCCTAGATCTGGCTTTACTTGTGCCACTGTACTAAAATGGGCTAGATTTTTAACCATGTAAAAAGGAAATGGAGTGGTAGTTTCTTCATCTTGGCTTTAAGTCAAGGCTGCATGTTTTTCTGGAAATGCATTTTACTTTATATGCAGCCTGTTTAGCTAGGGACAAACTGGGTGCATTTTAAATCTCTTTTATAGAGAGGTCAAAGCAGACTGTGCTTTTGGGAAAAAGTGATGCCACTTCACTACGCTTTTAAAAATAAAATGATGCTGAAATTCTGTTAACTGCAACCTTTCTGTAATACTCTGTTCTGATTTACTAMTGTTAGATTTCCAAGCCATATGCAGCGCGCGCATGCTTCAATTTAAGTTTGTGTTTTACAGGCATAGATTTAAATAACATTTCTCCGATTGGAAGGCAACTACCTTTGCAACCTGGAAAAAGCAATGGTTGGTTAAAAGCAATCTCTGAAACTTGAGATTTTCTCTGAAGGCAAATATCTCTGTGTGTGTTTTACAGTATTTTGTTTCAAGAAAGCATTTAATTTTTTGTAGAAATGGTTTCTTGTAGTAATTAGTCTATTATATTGTTTCTTTCATCTTTTTTTATTAGCAAAGAGCAAAGGTCTCTGTTGTAGACAGCAGAGTGCTCCCCCCGGCCTGTCCCAAATCAGCATATGCATTTTTAAGAAATAAAAATAGTGAATCTAAGCATTGGGTAGGTTTATGGGCAAATTGCAGTTTGGAGAAGGAGGAAAACAGCCTCTCTGTTTAAAGAATCTTGATTCTTTCCTCCCCCAAATCAATAGCTGAAATTTTAAGACATCTCTATCTTGTTCTACTTGAATACATTATTTTTTCCTGTAAGATATCCTGATCTTTCCTGCAGTTATTGAAACACTTGTATCCTCAGAAGCCTCACTCTTYAGTTAGGAATCTCTCTAGAGGATTGTCTGTTGCAACCTTCTTTATCTGTAAACCTGAGTGACTTGCATAAAGTGTTGCCAGATCAGAATTCCAACCCCTACTGTTGTTCTTAATCTGTTCTTTATTGCAACTGTAACTTTTAAGTAGCTCAACTGCAGTGCTTTTTAAAAGTGAATTTTTGTTTCTGTAACTTTACTAAAATGTCAATGTAAGCTAATTTTGTTGCTTTTATTCTTTGCAGCTGCTTGTCAGACAGTGTTGTCTTTGCCCGTGGATTTTAATTTAGAGAAAATACTAGGTATGTCTTGTAATGTCTATATTTCATTATTATAAATGTTTATTTTATTGTTGCCTTTTGTTAGAAGTGAAAGTTCTAGTGAAATATTGGAAACCTGATGTGTGAATCATAGTTTGAGTGTATATTATCTAAAAAGATAGTTATTGCTTTTGACATTGGACAGTTGGCCTAAAATTGCTATCAATAAATTGAGAGAAAACATAAAGACAAAGCTATGTGGAGGGTTTTTAAGAACTATGAATGCAAAGTAAGTTAATAAGCAAAAGGGGGTTTATTTGGCTTTATTAAAAAAGTACTAACTTAGAGCTTTTGCACTTGCAGATTGCTGCTTGCAGAGCTCATAGCCTAGCCTTGCCTCGAGCAAAGCTGTCCTTTATTTCCATGCCTGTAACTATAGTTAAGCTTTGGTGGTCCCTGTAAAGCTGTGTGGTCGAAAAAAAAAAAAAAAAAAAAAGCCCTAGCTGCTGGAGATGGTTGGGGCAAAGGCAAATTCCAAAATTAACTGTCTGATTGCAGCTGCTACGTACAGGAATTGCTATTAGCTACTCAGGCAAGAGAACTGGAAAAACCTCTTCAAGATTTTTTTCTTTTTGACTGCTAGCTTCTATTTCAGGATTTAAGTTTTCAACACTGACAGTGCTGGTTAAACTGTGAGGTTGGGTTTAGCTCTGTGAACAAAATTAACACAAAGGAAACTGGAACCGTGTTTATTGATTCAGTTTGAGCTTAATGAATGTTGTAATTGAGTAATTTATAAATTCATGGATTAATAACTTTGGTCACTTATTAGAAATATCCATTTGAATAGAGAAAATACTTTATGGCTGTGGTGATTATTTATGTGGAAGACCAGAAAGAGCCTTGTCTTGCTTAGTATCATAAACACTTTTTCACATCCAAAGTAAGAATACAGTTTTAGAAAGATGCCAGTAAGTAGATACTAATCAATATGAAATTCTTCTAAAGAAAGCAGTAAACTTCAATATTAGATCATGACAGGCTTCTTCTAGGATTTAAGATAGAAATAATATATGCAGTAATATATGAAATGGGTACCTGGATTATAGTTGCTTCTTGTATTTTGGAAATTGGATAAAATATTTTCATTCATTTGAGTGATGCCTAGAGGAAGGTTTGTTATTTTCTGTTCTGAATTTCCATCAACAGATTTCATCTAGTGTGTCTTTTATCAACTGATCCATGGATACAGTGTTGACTTTTATCATTTACAATCATTTACAACAGAGTTATAGTAGATTTCAGATATACAGGACTCAACTTCTGACCCTGTTCCAGGGCTTTTATAATGAAGAGAAAGGAAAGACTGAATATACTGAGCATAATGACCCTGAAGCTGAGAGATAGATTATGTGTCCCTAGAAAGAGATAACTAGATCTTGCAAAGAGGTCACTTGTACTTTGAAAATAATCATTTTGAATCTGGTCATCTAGGGAGATTGTCTTTGTTTACCCAAAACATTTCTAATGCAGTTTTATTATATACCATTTACAAACAACAGAGAAATACATGCATCTCACTGCAGGTGGGGACTCTACTGATTTGGAAGTTCACAGCTATTCTATAGACTTTCAAAGCTACCAGAAGGATTCTCATTCCAGAAATAATGGCAACACATCCAAGTTGTTCCCTTTAAAGGGATCACCAAGAGGGCTTTATAGRGTAACTGAAATTAAAGGGACCTTGTCCAGCCCTGTCTCTGAGCACATCCAGCTTTGAAGTTTCATTTGGTAATGAATATTTCCAGCAGGTTTAGGCAGGATTAGTGCTGACCCCTCGAGCAGGGATTTTAGTGAAAACATTGCAAACTTCTCAGCCAGGGTTGCACATGCAGTGCTGTATGCTAGTGGTTTCCATAAGCACAGACATAACATACTATTCAGGTCAGGTCTATAGCTGCAAAATTAATGCCAGAAGTCTGTTCGGCTTCTAAATTGGCATTATGGGATGTGAGGGACATCCATCTGGGGAAGGGACCGTGGAGACTGCACAGCCAGGTACGTGGCTTCCKCAAGTCCATGTGCAGGGAGGGTCATTGCCTATGTGTGTAGGCTGAGCTATCTAAGAGCCTTTGCAGGAAAATCAAAGCAATGTGTTGTAAGACAGCCCTAGGAAAAGCCTGAAGAAGCAGTAACTCGTAGACTACTTGGAAGGTAGAGTTCATTACAATTTCATCATCATCTTTTTGCTCTGTGAATGATACARCTACAGAGGCAGCCCTTGACCAAAGGAGCTTTGTAGCACAAAATGCATCTGGGCTTCATAAAACAGGATARTTGCATTATAAATAGCAGTTTTTAACATAATCCATTTTGAAGTGACAGSCTGTCTTTTTGAGAAGTAGTTCCAAACAAGTGAAGTATTTAATTTTTAAATAGCAATATGCAAAATATTCCTTTAGGCTTGGCTAGTGGTGCTAGTAAGCTGCACTAACAGAATAATGGGAATACATTAAAAGGACATCAAAAAAATTGCTTGTTCTTGCTGAAATTTTCATTTGGTTTATTTTTGTTTCTCAGAATTACAATGTTCAAGGAGAATTTTCCTTTTTCCTATCTTTAGAGATGAAAAATGCCTTACTCTTGAACTGCTACTTATTACTAATTTAAATGAGGAGTACTTAAATTTTGATTACAGGTCAGCATCACAACATTAATAAAAGTGATGTTAGATAATGTTTTTATCTTTTCTTGTTATCTGGTACATTTTTGCCAATATTTTGAGGAAAAGCCTGTGTCAATCCATGTCAAAATGTAGTGAGAAAGGGAGAGGATGTTTGCCTGTACTTGGATCTTAAAGATTTTTTCCACTTTCAGAACTGCAGTTTGACAGCAAACTACAAACTAATAGGAGGTTTGATACAGCCCTGTTAAGTGCTGCTGTGCTGGAACTGCTTAGTATTTGTTATAATGTCTGCAGTCAGGAGAAACGTTCAGATTTTTTTTTTCTGGGGAAATTTATTGTTTTTTTGTTATAAAATGTTTTCTCTCCTTTTCAATATCGAATGTAGCAAGAGTTACAGATCTTTAAATTTTAAATTGTTAACTATATGTCAGTTTTATTTCTTCTGGACCTTTCCTTTGGCTCCAGATTCAGCACTCAGTCATTGTAGAAGAGAGCAGGACTCTCATTTTCTCATCTCATTTGGAGAAAACCTCTTTTCCCTTCTCTCCCCCTGACTCTTAGGTGAATATATCAGAACTGACGAATTTGCAGATCAGTCTCAGGAAAATTTGAGCAGCTCTTCGCTCAGGAGAAAGCTGTTTTTAGAAGAAAATGGGAATGTGTCTGAGTGCCTGTCCCCTTCCCTGCAAAGTCCATGCGGTAGCCAGCCCCTCGGAGTGCTTTGTTCCATAGATATATCTCCAGTCCGGTGCAGAAGCCCCCTGGAAACCTCCGGTTCAGTAAGTAGCCCTTTTTTGGGGGGAGGATGGAGGGCCTGACGTGGGGTTGGTTGGCTGAACAGGCCCAGGAGGAGGACGGATGTCAGGCTTGTGGCACCAGCTCTGTGTCCCCAGCAGCCCTCACAGGATGGGTTGCCATGGTCTGATCTGAGGAAGCTGCAACTGCCTGGTGAGAGAATAGGCAATATATTAAAGTTTCCTCCAATTTCAATTTGAGAACAATTGTATGAATGGAAAATGGCTTGAAAGGAAAAGAACACCAYACATATGTATGTCACTGGTCCCCTTTTTTCACATATCAGATTATTATGCTGTGCTGCTGCACTCTCCTCTGGAAGGGACTGTGTTTGAATGTGTGTTGTGCTGAAAATGAGGAAGCGATTCACAATGCATCTTAAATCACCTAAAATCCTTTTTATGATTTTCTATATAAAAACTTGCTGGGAATATATGTAGAAGATTGTTTCTTCTTAAAATGTGTATATCAAAGAAGAMCCATTTAAATCCATGAGTTACCACATACAATAACAGCTGATAGGAAACAGCCAATACAATTGTTTTTCTCCTTATAGTTTGTAAACTCTTGTGATGGAGGAAGAGGCTCGGGATAACAGAGCTGCCTCTCTGAACGGCATGGGAATATAGGACAAATAGCTCTGTCTTTTCAGCTCTTATGTCAGAGTCTTGAGCTCTGATGTTTTGCAAGAGTGGAAGTGCTGCCGATGGTTGGGGTTCTTAGCACTTCAGATATTTTGATATGAATTGATTATACTGCTCATAGTTTTTTAAAAGACAATAGAAAATATGTTTTTATAACTGTCACATGATACCAAATATATGGGGATTGGCCTTTCCTGTGTTGAGTTGTAAAGTGCCAGGAAAAGTTGCAGCTGGAATATTTAAACTAATGTTGTCTAGTAATGTTATTGTCCATGGGCAAACTATTCTCAGTATTGCCATATTGAGCATTTAATCAAGAAAACGTTTATATGTTCATATAAGATGATATGTTTATCAATTACTATGCACTAAAAAAACCCTTTTTTTATTATTGTTTTTTATTTCTATTGAAGGCTCAATTTTCCTCCAGCCCTATTCAAGGAGGAGCAAGGGCTTACAGCCTGGGGAGCATAACCAGCCCCCCATTTCCAGAGGGCTCCCCTGCACATAATGGATCTCCTACCTTTTCACCAATTGCTTTCCATATAAGAAAGACACCCATGTCAGGTATGGCTTAAATATATATATATTTTTTCCTAGATTTGTCCATGCTGACGTTGATGAAGTGTGTGTGTGTGTGTGTGTGTTTTTTTTTTTTTTTTTTTTTAAATTAACTCCTCACTGGAAACCCTTTTTGCCTGTTCAGATGCAAGGTCTGACAAACCAGCAGGCTTGTTCCATATGCTCCACTTACTGGGTAGCAGCAAAATCCAACTTATTTGGAGCAGTTAAGTGTACAAGCCTTTTGAAAAAGGAATTGAGGCCTCCTCAGAATGAACAAAATACAAATGATTAATCCTGGTCTGAAGAGAAGGTTTAAAGCAAGATGTTGAATTCTCAGATGGGTCTCCTGAAGTCCCATCTAAAGTGCTTTAATCCAACAAAGAATGTTTAACTTCAGTTTTCAAGTCATGTGATTCTCCAAAGATGATTTGAAATAAGCTAATTTATCCAGCTAATTAAAAGAAATTGGGAGGACTTGTAACCTTGCCRTTTCTCTAAGAAATTTCAGTGTATGTAGTAGTTCACGTATTGCCTGGAGAGCCCTGGGCTGTACTTGAGCATGGGTTTGTGCTCAGGACCCTTGTGGCATTTCAACAAAACTGCACATAGAGGACACAGGTAGGTGTTCTTCTGTTTGTTGAGTTTTCTTGGAAACTTGGACCACTCATAAGTTAGTGAATATTTATGGAATGTGTATGCTTATTCTGAAAAGCAGCACAGAGCCAGCCTGCATCTCTGTTTTTTCTGCAAGAACAGAGATACTGCTATTGGAAAATGCCTTTAACACAGCAAACTAAATCACAGGAAACAAATCTGGTAGTAAAAATRAGGTTAGAAATTAACCTTAGAACCTAACTATCGTAAGTTTATGATAGGCTAAATGTCTTTTTTTTAAGAC